ACGATAAGATCTGTTAGGTTTACATGCATATTCTATGTATTAATAAATGTATCCTCGTGTATTAGTACCTGTGTGTGTGTGCGTTGCTTGAGTTATATCGCATGGTTGGATTCTAAAGGCATCAAAAGAATCAATTTTGTGATTTACTGCTACAATTAATAATTGTCCCAGTAAATGCCCAAATCCTACAGAACTGGTACTTCGTGAGAGCACACTACAGATGTAAGAAAAATAACAACCCGTCGGTTGGATGACGAAATGAGAGACATTCTTCAGAATTCGCATCTGGCCAAATATGAAAAAGTGAAATTGTACAGTCAGGTGTTACAACGGCATTTGACATAAGTACGCCAGGAGACTTCCGAAAAGGGGACTTTAACTGTTGTACTACCGGAAAATGCACCCGCCGAGCTATCACGCAAGTTAGCACAATCGCCGTCATCGAGCAATGCTGACTTTGGGTATATTTTGGACAGCGTGTCTCAGCAGTTCCAGAGAAATGCCGAGATATTGTTAAAGACCATGGCCCGCAATGAACCATTAATAGCCTGGAATGAAAAAGGGGAATTTGTGTACAAGGGAGCACCCGTTGAGGGCTCTCACATGATTGATCTTGTCAGGGCTCTCACGCAACAGCAAGCAATTGAGGTCGGTAAGAAGCCAAAAGGTTGGGATGTGTTCATGGAGGCTATGGCAGAAATCAACGTGCCGGGCACCTTGCTAGCCAACGCTGATAACCGAGAGCTACTTGAAAAACTCAAGGCTGCCCCGCTGGGATGTGCAGCATCGGTCAAAACTTTAAAACAACCGTTAGAGTTGTCGACTGTCGACCCGGTCCCTAAGATAACCGCTGTAAGGAGACGATCATTGATACCTAGACCCACATGGTTGTCTTTGTAACATTTTTTTCTCTGGGTATGTGTGTTTGTGATAAATGACTTGAAATGTATATTAAAAAGCGTGAGCAATATAGTTAAAAATGTTTGTAATAAAATGGCTTGGATGTAACATTAAAAAAACCTTGAGCGAATGTATAATAAAAATATTGTATTGATTTTAATTCATGTTTTGTTCTTTTTTAAATAATAACCACACAGACGTCAAAATAGTTCGATTTCATTTTTATTTTAGACGGTCGATTAACATTTATGACGTTTTAAATTGTCATAAACACCCGCATAATTGAACATTCGTATTTTCAAATGGTTTTTCAAAAACATTTCCACCATGCGGTCATTCTGGACTGCATTAGTAGAATAAAGTTCTAAAATGTTTCTAAAAGATAAACCTATCTATGGTATAGAAAAATTACGCAATGTAGACCGCAGGTCACCACAAAAGAATCTTGCAATTGTCTGTTGTTGTTAAATATGGAATTAGCATTTCTGTTTAAGAAATCAATAATGTTCTCGGGAAAGAAAAGGCTTCGGGTGAAAATCCGTAGGAGTCGAAAACTTCTGCTCCCTCGTCATCGGGTAAGTGAATAGCAAGCCAGTGTTCACCGGTCGTGTGGGTGAGTATTAACTATTAAACTCAGAGGGCGCCGCGCCAGTCTCTCGCGTGGTAGGGCATCACTGGGGAACACACCTAGAAAACTGTCTCAGGTGTAGCGGTCTTGGGTTAGAATGTCTTCCAGCTGTTTGGTGTTCATCTTTATGTGCAGGTTGTGTGGCCTCCCATGCTTTTTAGCTGAAGTAGTAAATGACTTGACGTCTCATATCCAGCTCTATCACGTTGTCTAACAGCGCGTACACAACCATGTTAACTGTAGTGGGTAGCGGTAGCGCGAAGCGTATTTCAGCTCTCAGATTACCCGTTTTGATAAGTGAATAATGCCCTGTGCACTTATCGTCGGGGCTGAGGTTGAAAGCGAAAATGTGTATCCGCGTGCATACCTTGCGGTCCACCAGAAGTGGTTTGTCTTTCAGACGCTTCCCGGATGTTTCCACCAGATTAAAATATTCACGGATGCAATGTCCATTCTGGAGGTCTGGTTGAAGCGGTTTAGTGGGGATTTGTTCACTGTCCGCGTAGAGAGCCAGAAAGTTAACGTTGTAGTGTTTAAAATTGAAGGGGTTTTGTGTAAAACTGCCGCTGAATGCCGCGTTGTCCACAAACCCCAAAACTTTGGGTAACTGTCCGAGAAAGAGGTTTTCTTGGTTACACACACGGCTTTAGCGTTGGCCGTCAGGAGTGCTTCGGCGTGTCCCAGTCTGACCCCGGGTGACACTCTGACTCTTTTCACAAACAAAGATGCAGAGAGTACACTCAGTTTGTGTTCTCCGACATTGTTCATTAAGCAGAAAGCATCTCTGTTGCGCGTGAGTTTTATTTTCAGGTCTACGCCATTCAGTAGTAGTTTATCCCGGAAAAACAGGTCTGCATGAATGTGACCCAGGAGCTCGAGTTTTCGGCTTTGCGTCGTGTATGATGCTCTTTTTCGGAACCCCTGATTGGGACCATCCAAAATTGTGGACTCGTGTTGCCCAGCTGTGTCTTTGTAAAAGAGCCCTGTTGAATACTGTGTCTTCAGCGTCTCTTCACTGTAGTTCAGGACAGACTGTATAAAGGCTCTGTAAGGATAGCAGTTGTTGCTCTGGCTGATTAATTGGTCTCCTACGGTGATGTCAACCTGGCTGAAGATGTCTGCGATGGGGTTATTCACCAGACTCACACAGGCTGCTGCATCAATGTCCCGACCGTCTGCTTCCGTTATTTTACAGGTCAAATAGAGCAGCGTGTTGTTTAAATCTAAATAATCTTCTCCGTTGCCTGTGACGTAGAACTGCAGAGGTGCGTTTTCCGTTAGGGCTATGAGGGGTGGAACTTCTATGTAAAAGCTTTTCTCGATGCTTGTTTGGGTAGGCGCTAATTGCTAATTGAAATATGTCCAACTCCGACTTGGCGCATTCTGCCAACCCGCCGTGAACAAAAGCCATATTTAAAATATGTCTCATTTCATGTCTCGTTGATTGTGGTGTGTCACGCCCTTCATGGTCGACCTGAAGCTTTTATGAGTTGACTGTCTGTGCTTAGCCGTTCTTTTATCAGGTTTCAGAGGCCCCCGACGGTGAGATGACGTCTGTCTTTTTCTCTTGAAACCCCTGCGGATGTATGCTAGACCCGAACCTTCCTGCTGATGTGCAGCCACCTTAGACATGACAGCGCTTGTAACGTTACTGACCACTTCTTTGGCGATGTTTTTAGCCTCCGATGCCATGTGCGGCTTAGCTATTTCAAACCCGCGTTTCAGAAAAGGCACGGCTTTTCTAAATAGCGCTCTGAAAATACCCCCGATACCCGCGCCGTACTGAACCAGTAGCCCTGAAAATCCTGGTAATCCATAACAAGCCTGTTGTTTGTTGTAGTGCATAAACAAAGAAGGATCCCCGTAGCTCTTGATGACCGTCATTATTTTAGATGTTTGTCGCTTTCACAGGTCTGAAATGCAGCTTGACGATGACCTTTCCAAATGCAAATGACACGTTCTCGTTTTGATCCGTCTTTATTTTAATAGTGATGTTGTTAAAATGATCGATGCTCACCGGCACGTAATGGGGTTTGTCGTACAATACTGTGACGAATTCACCATCCACTCCTCTGAAGGGCACACAACGCAAAAGCGGTGCGTAGACGTCGCCTATTACCTGGTGTTCTATGATATCGGTGTATATATACATGGTGTTAAATCCGCCAGTCATATCGACGGGGTGCGGTGATTTTACACTTCCGACACCCGATTTGAAACCCAACATCCTCGCTAGGCGGTTATGCACCTGTATAACAAACCGTTTATCACTAACAATCCTTACCGACCAGCTAATGGGGTTGTATTTAAGACTTACAGCTGTTAACTTGGATTTTTCTGCAGCCCGTTTCATTTCATGCAAGAGCTGCTCGATGTTGCTGTAGTACCCACTCGGTAAGGTACATGTCCATATAGTCTTGAGCTCATCGCAGACGAACAGAAAAACTTCATCTTCATCAAAAGTGTTTAGCGTATGCGGATAGTGCAGCTCAACCAGGCCCACTTCCCAGCTCCCGTCCAGGTCAATTGCCTTTGCCAGATGCTCTGGGAAGCACGCGTTGGTGTTCTTTGGAAACATCTTTGAGGATGAATTACTGGCCAGCGTCACATAGAAACCATTGGGGTTCATTTTTCACCACCTCTATATGTCTCGGACCTC